CCGGTTTCGTCAAACGTCAGGGGTTTCGTCAAACGTCAAGGGTTTCGTCAATCGTCAAGGGTTTCGTCAATCGTCAAAGGTTTAGTCAGACGAAATTATGACTAAACCTTTCGTCATCACGAAAATAGTTTCGCCAGGCATCATTAACTATGATACATCTAGAGAATTTTAAAATATAAGAAACTACTCGAACACTTCGATTTATTCAAAATTCATTTAAAAATACATAGCAAAGTACGTCATACAGCAATTTTAGGTATGCACGTAAAAAAACGTACGTACGTACGTACATATGTACAGTACATCTTGATAAAATGAAATAAGCTACGTGCGTACGTACGTATCAATTTTTGCCGAATAACCAAACTAAACTATCTTTTTTGCCGAATAACCAAAATAAACCATCAATTTTTGCCGAATAACCAAAATCAATTTTTTTCTGCCAAATAATTTGAATTATTTGGCAGCCCGATCATAGTAATCTGAAGGATAATATGAATTGTTGCAACTCTGATTGGCTGAACCTTATTTAACCAATTAGAATTACCTCTACTTGTATAATTCGGGGTCCTCTCTGATAATTCATTATTTCTGCTATCTGACGCATGGTGGCACAACTTATTAGACATAGAAATTAATATTGTATCTAAATGATTAATATTAGGTTGCTATATTTTAGCAATATAACAACATGTATATATATATTTTTTAAGTGATTGACTCTTTCAATAGTCAAGACTAGTGTTGGCAGGCGAAAATGTTCTTGGCAAATGGAGAAAGACGAAATAAACCCGGCGAAAAACGAAACCAGGCGAAACTTTGGCGAAATGGCGAAACTCTGGAAAATCCCTGGTAAAGTTGAAACCCCTGGGGAAAGTCAAAACTCGTCAAAAATCAAATCCTCTAAGACTTTAGAAAAGACTGAGCCAGGTTAGTAAATCAAAATATTTGTATGTGGCTATTAAACACAGCATGTGACTTACTTAACAATATACAAGGCAATAAACAAAGTGATAACCTTTCGTTTGTATTCAAGTACTATTAAAGAAAACTGGAATTCGGCTTTTGGAACTTCGAAGTAAGTAAAATTCTGCAGACCGACCAAAAATTAGGGTCGGAATAGGCCCAGAACTAGGTCGGTATTAAGCATTAATACTAGCCCAATATACTATAGCAAAATTATCAACGGGGCGTGGGCTACATTTATTCGTAAAATTTTGGGTGATTTTGGAAGAAATTTATCAATTCCGGCCTATTCCGACCCTAAATTTTGGTCAATCTGCTGAATTTTGTTTGCTCCACTAATCTATCTATCCAAGTAATTGCAATTGGAAAATGTGTACCAGGTTGGTGGCTCAAGCAAAAATTTTAAAATTAGTGTTAGGTTAATGGCTAGAGAGGAGTAGGCTTAGTAGTAAAATTGATCAACGAAAACTTTTTGTTAGAGCACAAAAGGTGGTTTCTTATGCTGATTTTTGAGTTCGTTACACCTATTGAAAGCTGATTCGTAGATCAGAAGAACTACGTCACCAACCTGGTACGTACGTACGTACGTATACATTTTCAGATTGCTAAGTAATTTACTTATTATGTAAAGTTAAATCACGCTGTGAGACAATTTAACAATAATATATTCTTACAGCTAATAACATACTAAATTTTCACATAGCGTGATTTAACTATTACGTAATAAGCAAATTACCCCATCTCTACAAAAAAAGTGTTACGTATTAAATTTTGCGTAAATCTGATAATTTTCCATTTCAATTCGTAACATAGTATGGATGCATTAAAAGCTCTCGGAATAGAATTTAATCGTCCTGATTTCACTTCAAATGAACGAGTCGCTCTTCAGACAAAATAAATATTGCAGCTTCTTTTCTATCTGATTGTACAGCGGATGATGAGAAACGGGATTATCTGAGATCTTTAATCTCCACGGCTGGTATGTTCATGCAAAAAATTCAAAATCATCATATTTTCAAATCATATTTAATTAATTCTATAATTTTCTTTTCTGCTTTTATAAAATACCACCAAAAAAAAAAACCATAATCACGTCATTATAGAACCATCCAGTATGTGAGCTATAATAAAATTTAGTTAACCGAAATAATCTTTTTTTTATTGATCGTATTCATTTATTGATCTTTTCGTTCTAGCTGATCTAAGTATTATATAAAATTTGCCTTTTAGGAAGTAGTGAATCTATCGAACAACGAACATTAGAAGGTAAATTTCCTTCATCAAAAAAAATTATATTTGTTGAAATTAATAGAACATCTGCCTTGATGCTATACGACAATTTGATTTATTTAGATTCATTATTTGAAAGTGTGTTAGAAGTTGTCCGCTATCTTAAGCAACTTGAGCAACTTCCAAAAAGTTTACAAGATCATGCAGAAACGGAAGAAGAAGTAGAGGAAGAAGAAATAAAGAATATATTGCAAACTGAGATTGATGCCCAGTGTTTTATCCAACATCCTAATAAAAAACCTCTTGCTATAATTGAGATGCAAGCACTATATGCAAGGCTGGCTTATAAAGACCTTTATCGTTTAGTTACGAATGAGGATTCTAATTCTAGGTTCCTAATAACTGGCACATCAGGTGTCGGCAAATCATGTTTTTTGCTCTACTTATTAATTCGACTTTTATGCAATTCTGATGATAGCGTGATCATTTTTCAACCAGCTGATGGAGAATTAATGTACTGCTTTACGAATTCCAAAATCACTGTTGGAACATATATCGATTTTTATGATTTTCTATATAACCGTTGTTACGATCGTCATTAGAAATTTTCGCCACTGACTCGACGATCGTTAAATGATTGACTACCGTGGCAATAACTTAA